TTCAGAGTTTCAGGCGCGGCTCAGGGCGTGCAGGAGGAAGGCAAATCCGCATAAGCATGACATGGTTGGTCCGAGGCACCGAGTAGGCCTTCCAAGGTTTCTAGAGGGTTTCGGGGGGGTAAAGGTGCTTTCCTTTACAGTGCTGAGGAGCTCTCAAAGCAATCCTGCACTTTCGACCCAAATTATCTTTTTGGCTTCCTGGTTTCTGGTTTCGCGGTTGCAAACATAGGCTAAAACTGGCTAATGATCAATGCGAAACAGGAGGTGGTTTCAGAGCACAGTATAAAGCCTCAACCGCAAAGCGGCGATTGGTGCAATAACAGTGTGAACACACTCCGAATTTTCCAGTCTGCGCAGCGAACAGCAGCACACGAAAGGCCCTATCCTTCATCCCGTCTATTTATCCTGAGGAAGAACAGTTGAATGGGAGGCATACAATATTGGTGGTCCATTTCTGGGGTTTGCTTTTATTAATTACCCTAAACCCTAAACCCTATGGTAGTGCACCCGTTTCTGACTCCTGTGTCTGAATAGGTAAATATACCAAAGCACGCCCTCAACACTAGACCCCTAAACCCTACACTAAACCTGTAAGCCTGAAGCCCTAGAAAGCCCGAAGCCACTAAACCCTGTAAGCTGCACGCCCTCAGCTCTAACGCCTAGAAACCCTAGACAGATATGGGAGTTTCCGAAAATAGGGGACCCTAATCTAGTACCCTAAATAGTAGGATCCCTATTATAAGGACCCCCCAAAAGGTACCGCTAATTTTTCGCAAACTCCCATATGGGTTGAAGATCAACTGTTGGTCTGGCCGAGGCTTCGGAACTTCTCAGCCTTAATAATTACCTATACTGAACTTAGAACCCTAGCAAAAATTGCAATTTTATCTGTTTCTTAGGGATTATATTAACCAAAAATTGAACTTAATAATTCTTGGCTGACTTCTGAACCCCTCCTAAAAGTTAAACTTTTAGCCTCCTTATCATAGTTCATATAGAAACCCCAAAAAAGTTAAAGTCTAAAGAGCCAACCAGAAGAACGCCAAGAATTAGTGTGGGGCTTGGGTTAGGAGTCTAGGGCTTCTGCTTTACCTAGACCCCCCAACTACCCTCTAATACACACTAAATACCCAGTATTAAGGACCATAAGGGCTCTATTAACGGGCACTTGGGGGGTGCTGGTATAGGTTTTGGGTTTCGGGTTTGGGGTTTAGGGTTGATAGGGGTAGGGTTTGGGGTTTAGAGTATGGGGTTAGGGTTTAAGGCTTCACTTGAGTGTTGACAGCACGGCTTTTTTTTGCAACCCTGATCAAGTGGTTTATTTGCTGCGAACATTCTAACACTAAATGTTTCGCGGGAACTTACGTTTGCAGTCTGCCCAACCCCTGCGCCCCATATAAGTGCCAAGAAATGGCAGGATCCCGCAATCCAAAAGCCGTCATCGATATTGAATTTGAACAACCCCTTAAACAGTACCACATATACGGTCAATATACACATATAGCACTATGAAACACGACCATAAAGCACTATCGCCCCTGCACACGTCGTTTGACATATTGTGCCCAGAAGCGGTGAACTTGCGTGGCTCCGTAGGCATAGTCGGCATCTGAGGATCGTAGATCAATTCCTGAACCTCCTCCTCCTGAGTGGGCAAAACCGTGGCTTGGGGAACGAGGCCGAAAATATGCTATAGCATACCGTAGCATATGCTCAAGTAGTATAGAAAACAGTCTAACATCTCATAACATAGATATAAGATTCTGTATATACTCATAATCAACCTAACCTACCACACTCTGAACCTGCAGACCCTAGACTCGATACACTACCGAACCCAAGGTTTATTTGAGGTCCGGGTAGACCCTGCCTCAGCTGCACGTTTAAGTCTGGGTCGAATCTCACAGCTCATAGACCCTGGAAAATTGAAATTCTCGGTAGCTAAGAGGTGCATAATGTGGGTTCAGGGTTTCAGCCCCACAAGGTGAAGTTTTATCAACTCAGCTACTGAGAGATGATCAGAGTTGAAAGTCTGGAGTGTCGACACGCAGCGGCGCAGGCCCTACACCCTAAGTCGTCGGAGCCGAAACCGAACCCAAACACAAAACCACTCAACCTCAGAGTCAGAAACCACATTGATAGGAGGCCAAAAGGGGGGTTTAAGATTCTTGGGGTAGGGATTCCTTAATATGAGCCCCATTATGGGAACCCTAATCTCTACTAAACCCCCATAGGCTAAAAACCTTTTTGGCCTCCTATGACACATCTAGGAAAGCTGACGGTTCAACCCCAAACCCCTGTAGAGGTTCATCCGAGAAGCTCCTTTCGAGGTAAGTGTAAGGCGCAAGGAGTGCTAGAAGGGTTCCCCTGACTGAAGGTTCATGAAGGGCTTAGTTGCTGAGTTCATAAGCCCCCAAAAAGTGCACACTGTTATTTCATAGTGGGCAATATTATCCCAAAAGGTGTAAAGCGTATCGACTCAGCTACTTAACCCCCAAACCCCACAGCCTAAACCCTCAGCCCTAAACCCTCAGAATAGGCCCTTTGCAGCGCCCATGTACCTAAATAGTATATACATTGGCCTTCAAGTAGTCCCTATATAGGTACTCTGGGCCCAAGGTATATACCTAGACCCAAGAGTAACCCAGGCATAAAAAAGATGCCCTTTTTGGTTTAAAGGGGTTTATAAGGGAACCTGAACCATAAAAAAGGGAATAAGGGCCTACTCTAGGTCCTAGATACTACTTGGGGACCTGGACCCTTAGGGGCCCTTAGAAGAATCATCAGCTGGAACCTGAGCCCACGTCCCCTCATGAAGCCTAAACCCTAGACCCTAACACCCCGTAGCCGTATAAAACCAGAAAGCCCTACAAACCCTTAAACCCTATAAACCCTAAAAACCCTATAAACCCTTGGACCCTACAACGCCATAAGGCCTATTATAAGCCCTAAACCCTAAAAAGCCCTATAAGCCCCAAGATCCTATAACGCCATAAGGCCTATAAGCCTTAAACCCTAAGCCCCAAGATCCTATAACACCATAAGCCCTAGCAGCCCTAAAACCCAAAAAATCCTGTTAATAAACCATCGGATCCTGTAACACCATAAACCTTCAGCGGCCCTAAGCACCTAAAATTCCGATAAACCCTGAAACACCATAAACTCTAAACGGCCCTATGGTTGTTCTCATGAGTGAAGCCCAACCGAAGATCTCAAGCCCGAAACGCACACTCTCGCCGCAGCCCTAAACCCCAAACCCTACCTACAGCTACCCTATCTCTTCTTTAGGGCACCTAAATCCTAACCCTAAGCCGTGATATGAACACAAACCCACTAAGCCAGATACTGGTAAGATATTCGCGTGCCAAGTTCGGACAACTCCCCTCAGGAAGAGGGCTAATGCGAAGTTTAGGGGTTTAGGGTTTAGAGTTCAGGGCTTGGGGCTCGGTGTTTACCGGTTTAGGCCTTAGGGCCTTTCGGGTTTCAAGGGGTTTAATTAGGGCTTACGGCCCGATCCGGGCTTTGATCACTGAGGTGGGTTTGGGAGCGAGGTGGAGAAGGATGTGCACGCTTGGAATGCTTGTTGCATAGAGCCCCTTGTGGGCAGGTGCCTCAATAATTAGAATAGGGTTTTGGGGCCCATTATGCTATAATTATAATAAGGAGCCCCCCAAAATAGTGCAGGTAATCATTACAAGGCCCCTGTCCTTTTGATGCTTGAAGCTCCGAGCCCTGAAGCAAACTCTAAACCGAGGCAAGCGGCATTGCAGACTTGCTCGGCTGTTAGGCACATTGCAGCCCCGTACGCTTCAAATGGTCCTAAGACCTCACCTATACCGCTCTCCGAGGTCATGGAAAAAGCTGCGGTTTGGGGTTTAGGCCAATCTCGGGCTCTTGAAACTCCTAAACCCTACTTGGACCCTGAGGAACCTTATATAAGTCTTTCGAAGCAGGTTTTTAAGTCTTAAAGCTCCGAATGGCACTAAGCGGCTACTAAAGCTACTATTTATTGACTTTACGCATTATTCGTGCACTTGGCACCTGGGGCAAATTCTTAAACCCCAAATGTTGGGTTTAGGGTTTAGTGCATAGCAGAGATGCTTGCACGATGCTCAGGCTTTCGAATCCGGAATGCACAGTAAACCCCAAACACTATAGCCTAATAGAAACTTTCGGGATCTTAGAGCTCAAAGCCAAACCGCTCGAACATGTTACACTGCTGCAGTTCGTGTGCCTTCCTTTTCTTTTGCTGGGAGGCTCGGGTTCCGGGTTTGGCGTCAGGGAATTTGCAAACCTCTGACCTGTGTAGGGTGTAGGCTTTAGGGGTTTATAAGGTTTATATAGGGGCAAGCGCTGTCGGGATGTTTAGGGTTTGGGCTTTGGGGCACGCCGAAGGCTCAAAATAACGTCTATGGTGATGAGGTGGACGACGATGATGGTGGTGAGGGCTGCGGTGTTACTAGCACGATGATGATGGTGATGGCCACGACGATCTGCTCTCGATCATGCAGCTCCTGAACCACGCCACAAACCGTTAAATCTTGCCGCACACGTGATATTCGGGGCTTAATAATTACAACATGCAGGGTTTTGGTGTCTAGTCAAGATTCATACGGGTGATACTTCATTAGCATCACCAGCTCTACCCTAAGCTACAAACCAAGTAGGCGCGCAACCCTAAAGCCTATGCATCCTAAACCCTGTAAGCAAACGATTTCGGCTATACTTTAATGAACATCTTCTGATTACGGGGTTGCGGGGTCTCTCGGTACTATATTACTACGCCAGAAACAGAACCTTCAGGGTTGTGGTCCAGGGTGTGGGGTTTAGAGGTTAAGGGCTGGAGACAGGACAGCCGTCCAACACGGTCTGTTCCTTGTAGTTGTGTCTCTAGCCTTCAACTTTATGTCATGAAACACCTAAGCCCTAAATACAGCTTGAGACCTACGAGACCCGGAACCACCCAAGTTTGGAAAAGAAAAAGGACTGAAGGCCCGCACGAGTCCAGCGAGAGTTTGCCTCACGGCCAATGACGACTAGAATGAGGTTTTGGGGTCTATGATAGTAAATTGTAATAGCGAGCCTTGAGAAACAACGCTGGTAATTACTTACTTAGGCTGCTACATCAGGTGGTTGGCATGCAACCTATATGCAGGATCGGCTAATTGCACAAACCTATGTGAAAGCATACATGTGCACCACCTTTGAGCATATTATTGTGTAATTCCCTTTGTCCAGTTGATTTGTGAAGTCGAACATTTCCCTGCCCGCTCTTGGAAGATGCCGGCGGCATCCTGTTCTAGCAGACTAGCAAACAATGAAACGGAAGGTAGAGCGCGTGTAGTTACTCAGGCACTGAAAAATTCTATCCTTGATTTCGATCAACGTTTCTACACAGGAGTATGTACTTTATCTATCTTCTGGGTGCAAACAAAACATACCTGTTAGGTCAGATCAGCATATTATTGTCGTCCGTTGCTAGGCACACTAGGGAAACCCGATTTCTAGGTTGTGCACCGATTGAGTTGGAGTCTGGGAAACCAGAGCAGTAAATTCGATGAAGGTTTCTGGATTCAGGCCAGAACCGCATGAGGCTTACTTCGATGAGGGTGATTGTGTTCATCCGTTTAGGCATACTTTGAGTGTCCTGCGACCAAACTGAAAGAAAACTATCTGCATAGCCAACATGCACTTACTTCGCCCTTTGGCGATACCACATGAGCGCTCCATTCCTCCTCGGTCAGCAGCCCAGATATACATCGTAAAACCTGAACCCTGAACCCGTAAGCATCTTCATGGCTGCTATGTTCCAAGGATATCATCGAACAGTGGGGATAAAAAGTTGCTTCCGAAAGCAATACCCTGAAGTTCTTCTCTGAAAGATGCCCTACCCAAAGGCCCCAAAGCAGTTCCTTTTTGGGGTTCCTATATAGAATCCTATAAAGGAATCTCAAAAAAGAACTACTATGGCGCCTCTGGGTAAACCTAACCTAGAACTCTGAAGCCTTCAGCTGCAAATCAGAAAAGCTCAAAGCCCAATGCCCTTCTACCCCAAACCATCAACCTCCTAAACCCTACCTAAACCCCCACAAGTAAGTAGGCAAAATAATAGCCCAAAACCTATAAAAGGCCATTCTTCTACGTACTTTTGGCGTCCAGGTAAAACCCCAAATCCTAAAACCATAAAGTCTTCAATCTATGCTTGGAGGTTCATGGGTAGTTATAAGTGGGGTTATGATAAGCCCCCTAATATGGGTTATAAGTATGGTTACCTTACGTAGAACCCTACTTATAACTACCCCTAAACCCCAAACCCTATAATCCTCAGAACATCACGCCCTGGTGGCGCGTTTTTTCGCGTGTTCGTGTTTTGACTTGCACTCTCAGATGGCAAGCTCAGGAAGCTCTTCGCTTCCCGCACATTGTTTTAGCAGCATACAATATTTTACGACGTAGTGTGAATTGACAACACATTCCACCAAACCATTTGAAAATGTTTGGGCATAACCGAACACCGGTTCGAGAGAGATAAAGTTATGGGACAAACTTGCAAGGACATAAGGGCATGGCCTTAAGGTGTGGGCTCTAGGCCTTGGAGTGTGGAGGCCTGGAGCCCTGGAGCCCTGGAGCCCTGGGGGGGGGGGGGCGCCAAAAAAAAAAAAAAATCCTGGTGTGCAAAATCTATGGTCCAATTTTTTTTGTTTTTTTTTTTTTTCTGCGCCCCCCCCCCCCCCCCCCGCCCCCAGGGGCCTTCTGGACGGAGATCCAGAGGGCGCATGTCTGTAACCAGAGGATGCCTGGGGCCTTCGGCCTTTGGCACTCCCAATCCAGCGTTACTCAATCATTTCAGGGTTTCTAGTATGCCACCAATCCTGTCCTATCCAATGAAACATCCCTCTGTCAAGACTTTACGCTTGCTATTGTTGTCCACCACCTAGGAAAGCGGCTCCAACACCTGAAAACTGTGACATGGGCTACTGATGACACTCATACATGACAGAAGTGTGATGGGTAATTCATTCTACACAGTAAAAATATGATGGGAATAAGATCCTTGCACCGCGACCCAAGTTCAGAATTAGCCGTCTCAAGAGATGCTGGGTGGCGAACCCAAAACCTTAGACTGAAAGTCGTCATTGGCTTCCAACATTCTTGGACATCGTAAAAGATATTGGACCCTCACCCGGAAACTTAGACAATGCCAGCAAAAATTGCAAGCTACAAAATACTTGTTACATTTGAAGCGGAGCATTTATAATTACCTGCAAGCCAACCTTGGTATACATATAGGTGTTCGTACCTACATATATATGATAATGTATATATGTATCTATATACACGTCTGTGCATGCATGTTGGTATATGACATGCAGGCATGCATACACACCTACATATGGATGTGTATGTTTACATACACATATGTTCATGCTGTTTCCATGTTCATGCTTCTGCAAAGCTTATGCACACATACATATATGCTTAATACATATGAACATACACGGGGTTATACGTACATACATAAGTATCACGGAAGCATGTGCAATATTTCTGAAATATGCGAACATATGTGTATGCAACAATGAGGCATTTAGGCAGCCATGCACTCAAAGGAAAATGGAGGGCCTCAGGCTCCTATCCCAAACCCCTAATGGGCATGGTGGGTAGAGGATGCGGAATCTCAAATCTGTGTGGAAGCACGTCCTCCATACCTGTACATATATACATCTACATATACATGTATGTATATATATATGTGTATATATATATATATATATGTATATATATATATATATATATACATATAGATATGCACGTATACAAGTTCATGCACTCTCGAAGCCTATGCAACCATATACAAGCTCGTGAACTTTGGAAGCCCATGCACGAGCACACACATGTATATGCATATATATATATATATATCTATATATATATATATATATATATATATATGTATGTATATATACATAGGTTATTTTGTGATATACATGCAAGTACCGGGGTATGTAACCGCAAGGCCACTGCAGTTGCACACACGATGTAAATTGGAACCTTGCAAGCATATTATGGGTGGATGACACATGTATACACACATACACACACATATAACTTTGTGTGCATCACGGAAATGGGTAATTACATTGTTTTTCGGATTTACATGGAAGTGGGTGGATGATGGCGAACAACAGGTCTTCAATAGAATAACTGATTAACATGCCCTATTACACCGTAAGCTAATCCTTAAAAGGTGTGGCCCACCCAGCCAGAAATGCAAATCACAGTAGGAGATGTTGGGAGACCACCAGAATAAAAACCAGAGTCTGAACACTTTAGCACGTATCACGGGCTACACTTATCCACGAAAGATATATAGTGTGTAGCGAACCTAAGTACCGAAAAGGATGACGTGTGTCCAGAGCATCCAAACTCTACTGGAAGACATTCGGCTGAAACGCAGTGCCGCACATGGATGTACTGAGCCAAACCCCCGTAGAAGTTCGATGAATGGCGGAACCACAACTGGATCCTCAAATCGATGACTGATTTCCCAAATACAGGCAGACTAGAAGATGTTGCACTCTCAATCCAAGGCTTCAATAGTAGATGATGGGTAGCAAACCCAAAAACTGTTTCAAAGGTGGCAAACCCCTCAGAGCTTTATAAGTGTAGGAGTGTAGAGATTCCTTTCGCCACGGCTTCAGATGCGGTTGTACACATCGATGACGGTCTGCCTGTCTATATATACCCTTGTAGCATTTATGCTGCAGCCCACGCCACAATTTCATTCCCTAGTTGAAGACATGATATATACAATAAGTGACAGGTCAACATTCGTATGCACATGTAAATATACACATTTCCATAAACACGCATCCATTCAAGTCAGATGCATATGTGGATAGACACCCAGGGGTTGTGATGGATTTTAATGATTTCGACATGATATGCCAGATCACGCACCTCAACTTCAATGGAGATGCTGGATGGCAAACCATCTCCCTCTTCCCCAACAAACTCCTACTTCGTGACATGCCCAAGACTCAAAATCAAGGGTGCAATGCCTGGATGAGGCAACACAACGCTTAAAATTCTGGGTGCGAAAACTCGTGTGAAAACCTCTAAATTACCGAGAAATACACGCCACCAGGGCGTTGCACTCTCCAGAATCCTATACCCCTAAATCCTAGACCCTACAGATCCCTTTAAAGGAGCCCTACTTATAACTACCCATGAACACTTCAAGTAGCATGTAAATCGGTTCACCGCCGTCCGGTGGCCTGCACTCTGCCAGGCGCTGCCCTCGCAAGCTCCAGCTCTTCCTGTGTTGGGTTTGGTACCCTAAGGGTCCATGTACGCATATATAGATACATGAACCCCAAAGTACCTACATAGGGACTACATTAAGGCCAATGTATATACTATATATGAGCACATGGACCCTTAGGGGTACGGTTTAGGGTTCACCTTATGGTTTAGGGTTTAGGAGTTTAGGGCTCGCCTTATGGTCTAGGGTTTGGGGGTTTTGGGGTTCGCCTTTTGGCCCACCTTATGCTTTTCGGTTTAGGAGTTTAGGGCTCACCTCCAGTGTCACCCGTTGCTGCGGGACCTCCTCACGTTTCTCGGCCCTTGCCATCACCGCCACCGCCACCGTCACCCTGGCCATCGTCACCCTGGGGCTGCAAAGTGTCACTTGCCTCCTCGCCCTCGGGTTGGGCCGGGTGAGAGCGGCCACTCCAGCTCATACTGACGATTGAGCCGCAATGCAAACACCGACAATGCGCAACACGAACATGCAATGCACGCATGCCCTCATGACTCATCTCTCTGCTGCAGCCACGTGGCTCTTTGATCACCCTTTCGGAGCTGGTAATCACCCAGCACGAAGCGTCGGCTTTTCTGAAGCCTGATGAAGGTGGCGAGCGATGTCTCGGGATGCAGCCGGAGCTAGCAGGTGCAACAGGCCGAAAACCTCAGCCAGTGATGCACAAGCATGAACACCGAAGCCCCTAAAACGCAGTCACCTGGTACTGCCGCCCAAGAACCTGCTGAGCACCCCGATTTTACCTTAAACTACCAGTGCCTTCTTTTCTTGTAGGGCCTTGTTATAAACTCCATTATGAGATTTGTAGGGGACCCTACAAAAGAGTAGGCTTTGATAGGCTGCACTACCTTGATGACCCTAAGACTATGGGAATTATGGTATATTCCTTGTTATGCGTAATGCAGGATTCATATCATCAACAGTAGGGTCGAGGGGTTTAGGGGCTTGGGGGCCGGTCGTCCTCGGGTTCAAGTTTTAGGGCTTGCCCGAACCGGGAGAGCTCTGGGTGTAAGGATGGGATTAGAATGCGGGCAGGGCGGGGTGTTAGAGTTTAGGGTTTAGTTTTTTTCTGTTTTGGGTTTAGGGTCTAGATAATTGGATGAAAGGTTTGGGTATGTCCCAAGAAGAAACTTTGAGGATTGTGTTACTAACTATTTAGGCCTCCATCATATTCGGGGTCTAGCAAAGGTGACTGTATCAGCTGTAGGCTGCAGGAGGGTTCGGCTCCACAGCAAGCATTGTTTCATGTACTGCTGGATCTGGCATGAACTGCAAGATACAAAAACGAACATGACACCTGACCGTCAACAGACAACTTTGCTAATTATCGGGTTGTTACGATTTCAGCAGCCACGCATTTTAACCCAAGCCACAGACTGTCGGTACATGCGCTCTCGTTTAGCTTTGTTGAGTGTTTTTGTTTCGAGTTTAGTTAAACGCTCTGATAGTAGGCAATGCGGCGTTGTTCCATGAGCCGGGAAAGGATTTGAGAACCTCTTTGCTGCTGCATGTTTGGGATCGACCGCAAACCCTAAGACCCTATACCGTCCGTCTCGTCGCAGGATGCTCCGCCAGGGAAAATTCGCCGAGCCACCTTGGCGATAGGGACTTCCAGCGCAACCCTAAACCCTAAACCCTGGGTAGGTGTCGATTTCCACAGTCATCAACATCATTTATAAGCAGATGTCTATATCAAACACCAAGGGAAACTGAAGATTACCCCGAATTCCGAATCGATACCTAGCGAACAAACAAGGTGGCGCAACCGTACTCACACGAGAGACTCCTCGGCTCCGCATTTACCAGGCTTTGGGGGTAGGGTTTAAGGTTTAGGGTTGGGGTGTGGCAGTATAGCATATGCTGTAATTTCGCAAAAAAAGGCTTGTGGGGCGCTAGAAGTATGTGTGTGAGTGTATGGGAATGTACATGTATATAGACGAAACGATAGACCGGTGGATCGAAAGAAAGATAGATAGAAACGAAACATGGATCAATCTATCGCTCGGTCTGTAAAAGGTTTAGGGCTTAGGGTTTTGGGTTTTCCGATGACAAGAACGGAAACCAACAGTGGGCGGGGGAATCTCCAGGCCCGAACCCCCAAACCCAATATCTCCAACCGTAAACCTTAGAGGCTGAGTACCCTAGTCCAAAAAGGTTAACCTTTTAAACTATGGTAGGATTATATAAGCCCACAAAAGGCTAAAAGTTACCTACTCAGCTATTAAGACAACCTCAACCCCGAACTCTAATTATAACCCCCAAACCCTAAACGCTAAAATCTTGCCCCGACTCTTTCCTTGCTCTCTTTGGACAAACCAATCTGGCAAATCGCGACCGCCGTCCATACGGTAAGGCAAAATCTTGGAGCTCAAAATTCCGCCAGCAGAGCCTCAGGATGCCTCGAATCCCTAAACCTTAGAAGCTGCCCCCAGCCTGTAATAGTGACTATAAGGATGATATAGGATTATATTAGGGCCCTATTATATTCCTAGTATACCACTATTACAGACCTAAACCCTATAGGAGGCTGAAGCCCCAGAAGCTAAACTCTATAGCCAAAACTCTCAAACCCTTAACCCCAGACCCTAGACCCTAATAAATAAAGTAAGCCGCACACCCTAGACTTAGACCCTTATGGCCTGGCGAGGTGAATACGTCCTGCCTTAAACTACCAAACCCTATGCTTTTTTGTAGTTTCTTATTATAGACCCTAATATTGAATTTATAGGGACCCTACAAGAAAGTAGGTTTTGGTAGGTTAAGGTGGGGCTTGTGCCGCAGCTTATGTGCTCTGTCCTGGGGCTGCTACGCCGCCGTCGCCGCGACCAATCCCCTCGTCAGCCTTGCCTGTGGGCGTCGCGGAGTATGTTTTTTAAAAGTTCAATTCACGCTCCTTTCTCCAAAGAACGCCTACCCAGAAAAGGGCATACACTGAATCAGCAGGGTACAGGGTTTAGGGTTTAGGGAATGGGAATCTGGCAGCAAATTAGCTATTTCGGGTTTTAAGAATTACAGGTTCAAAGGGTTTAGGGCTCAGGGCCGTGGAGTTTAGGGTCCCGAAGAAACACCGCCCGCATGCAGGATTTAGGGTTATTGGTTTGCGCCTGGGGGTTTAGATGGTGGATGGTTTTAGGGTTTGGGGAAGAAGACGTGAACCCACGGAAACAATGAGCCAGCACAACTTTCATGCGGAGATCAGACGTATTGCGTCCAACGGACTCCTAGTCAGCTACGCCGAAAACTCTGAAAAATCTCTGAGGAACTCTGACAATCAGGGACGCTTAGAGTAGCTTCTTGTTGAGGAATTTAAGTTAGGTTGCCAGAACAAGGCATCCTTATATCATTGGCATCAGTTTGTTGACATAAGCTTTCATCCGAAGATCGGAGCCCTGCGGGTCCATGTACTCATATGGGCGGCTGTCAAAATTCGGGTCCCTTTTTGGTCCTTGTGATGATACGGCACCTGTTATTTAGGGTGCCCAAGAAGGGACCATGATTTTGACAACTACCCATATAGAGATACATGAGCCCAAAAAGTACCTATATAGGGACTACATTAAGGCCAACGTAGATACTATAAGGTAGAAGCCAGAAAGTTGGAATATGATTATCCTAACCCTTCTATGGTAAATTATAGGGTATCCTACCATGAAACCATATTCCAACTTTCTGGAGTTCCCTATATGAATACATGGACCCTTAGGGAGAGCGGCTTTTCTCAGGCGCAGGGGACGAAGCTTGGCGCTCGGGGATTTATGTTTACCGCTCCATTCTAAAGGGTCCACGACAAAAACCCCTAAACCCTACCTACAGCAGCCGGAACCCAATAAAAAGAAGGTCGCTAGTGCACAACCTGGGTTTGAGAGGAAGTTGCGTAGGAACCGCGTTCTCTTCAGTAAAACCTGGTTCTTCTTCAGAACCTAAGTTCTTATGGTATATGTCGGGAATTCTTGCGTTTATGTTGAGGTTTATAAAGGGCAATCTAGGGGATTCCGACGAACATCAGGGGCTTCAGAGAAAGTGTGATCCCAGCTCGGGCAGCGCATCGGCTCTTTTTTGTCGTGACGGCCCTGATCACCGCCGTTTTGTCGCTGATGCCGGGGCCCCGATGCCCTGACAGAGAAGTGGGATGCTGCTGGATTGAACTGCTTCATAGATGTAATTTATGCATCTTTCTGTTTAGCTGTATCGGCTTCGCAGGCAAGAGTGTGATTCTCGCCATGGCTGAGCGGTTTTCGGTTGAAGGTCTGGCGAGTGAGTGGGAAGGCTTCGAAAACATTCGGAACAGATTGCGTTCGGAAGACGGCCGGCTTGTGATTCGGAACGAAGATCAGACCTATGATCCAAGCAATCGTTTGGCTATCTTGAATGTGGATCTCCTCGCCCCCATGTTGGTTAGAATGACCCTCTGCAAACTTAAGATCCCGGACATCGAGCCGTTGCGATCAACGGTGCAGCAGGTTTATCAACTTGTGAGCAAGGAGCCGTCTGACAGCCAAATCGACGACGAGGCATGGGCTCTTCGTCACCTCGTGGGCCATGTGAAGCGCAAGACCCAAAAGCATCTGGTTTCTTTGGATCCTGGGAATTTACATAATCTTCAGTCGAAATTCGAGGTTGCTGCTTTGTAAAATCTAGACAGAGCATGCAGTCTTCATCCTGGGCCAACTTAGGAACCGGATTTCCAAGACATGTGCCTGATTTTGAACCCCGACCTCGAGGATGCCTTTAAAGTGCGGTTCTGATTGTTGTGTTTGTTTTGTGTCTAGTGAAGCCCCCTCTCCTTCATGGTGTTTGCAGGACCTGGTGCGAGAGATTCGGGAACGCGCAGAATCCGTCCCAGAGAATTCGCCTGATGAAACACTGGAGGCTCAACATAGCCGTAGCACATGTAAAAGGTATACTCAGCCAATTTTTTTTGCGAAGCGATCAGCCCTCCTCTGAAGCAGGTGGCGCTTGATGACAGTCAGCCAGCTGGGGCTGGAGCTTTTGAGCCGGGAGAAGATTTGATGTTGGCTGCTGCGCCAGCATCCGTGCCCGTACCCGGGCCAACGGTTCCCGAACCCGAGCCAGCGTCGGAGCGCCCTCCAGCAGCCCATGTCACCGAGCCAGCTCCCGAAAGCCCAATCCGACCTTTTCCCATAGTTCCCAGGCCATCGAGACGCTCTGAAGCCCCCAGGCCCAGGCCCGAGACAACACGTGATCCCGAAGTTTCAACACGCGGTCCCGAAGCTGCCTCAACACGTGGCCCCGAAGCTGTGCCAACACGTGGTCCCGAAGCTGCCTCAACACATGGTCCCGAAGCTCGATCAACACGTGGTCCCGAAGCTCCATCAACACGTGGTCCCGAAGCTATGCCAACACGTGGTCCCGAAGCTGTGCCAACACGTGGTCCCGAAGCTGCCTCAAGTCCCGAAGCTCCATCAACACGTGGTCCCGAAGCTCCACCAACACGTGGTCCCGAAGCTCCCAGGCCAAAGCCAACACGTGGTCCCGAAGCTCCCAGGCCAACAGTTGTTGAACACCGGGTGGCTAGTGCTCCGGAACCTCCAGCCCCCGTGCCAACTTCTTGCGGGATTGCTGTGAACGCTGCTCCCAATACTCCCTCCCCGGTGTTTGAGCTACCCTCACCCGCTGCTTCTGTGATCCCTTCAGAGTTGAGTCGCCCTTCGATCGGCTCTAGCATGCTTTGACACAGCTGTTGCAAATATTACATCATGCATGGGTTTCGGGATTCCACGAATCTCACAATTGCTTATCCAAGGCAGCTCGAAGAAGCTCCAGCTCAAGATGCTGCAGGATGAGCTGAGAAAGTGTCTTGCTTACATATGATTCAAGCTCGTGTGTGTTTAATGCATGCATGGTGTTTACAAAAGAATCGGCTTGAAACGGCGGTGTTTGGAATGCTGTCGAAGTAAGATCTTGGCTGTTCTGAGGATTCGTGAGAAGCGAGCGAAGTATGACCCGTCCATGAGTTTGCAGCCGGAGGAACCCTCGCCAGGCCTTTAATTGTTTCATGTCAATCCTTGAAGCAAGTCAAGTACTCAATCCTGTACATTTTGCCACCCAGAAGCCAAGCCACTGTGAAGCCGGTGAGAGGCCGTCCAGAGCCCACAGCTGCAGCCGCGTTGGTGACGCCTCCTTGCAAGAACAGCATCGGGCGCTATGATACGGATAATGCAGAGACGCAGCCGTTTGACATCATGGGGATGGATCTATCCCAGACTCCTGTGACCCCAGAGTTCAACAAGCCCCAGAGATTCCCGAGCACAACGTCCGTGGACACTAAGCGCTGGGTCTATCAGCATCCCAACGAACCGAAGCCAGAGAAGTTGTCAGAAGCACCCCCGGCACTACCTGCTGCACCCCCGGCACTACCTGCTCAAGAAGAGAAACCGTGTGCTGCACCCCCGGCACTACCTGCTCAAGAAGAGTTGCCAGCTGTTGTCGAGGAGCCGATGCATGATGCTGAGGATGATGCTGCGCAGGATGATGGGGCTGCTCCAGAGCTTGATGGTGAAGCATCTCCTCCCACGAAGGCCTGCCAGCGGTTCTGCTTAAGCATTCCAAGGTTGTTGTCGAAGCTTATCTGTCATGCCTATACAATCTACCAGGTCAGCGATCTTCAGCTTCTAGCTTTTGGCACCCACAAGATATACATCTCTCTCTCTCTCTCTCTCTCTCTCTCTCTCTCTCTCTCTCTCTCGTTATGTAGCCATATGTCTACATTATACATATTTCATCCATATTCGCTATTTCATCATGCCACTCTATCTGTGCTTGACAGGTTTTCGGAAGACGAGAGCAGCTTGGACTCCGAAAGAAGATCAAGGAGAACAAGAAGAAGGCAGACCCGGCCGATGACCAGGGCAGCAAGAAGAAGCTCAAGCGCAAGTCGAGCAAGAGCAAACTTGCTCGCCTGAAGAAGATGCGCAGATCGCGCTCTTCTTTTGAGGACTTGGAAGGACCTGAGGAGCACGCGCCAGCCGAGGAAGAGGAGCAAGAGCCGCAGGCGAAATCCAAGAGCAAAGCCAAGCCGAACAGCAAATCCGCGCCGAAAGCCGCAGCCGCCAAGACAAAAAGCAAATCCGCGCCGAAAGCCAAAGCCGCAGCGAAAAGCAAGGCGACACCGAAGGCCAAAGCCAGCCCGAAATGCAAAGCCAGTTCGAAGAAGGCTTCGTCCTCGAAGTCTCACGAGGACAATGACAATGAGGCGGAGCCCGCCGAGAAGCCCAAGTCAAAGGGGGGGCGACCCAAGGGATCCAAGAACAAGGTCAAGGAAGCAGACAACGATGCCAAGAAGCCCCGTGCTGCCAGAGTGGCACCCAGCATCCGCCTGAACCGCAAGAGCGCCGACGAGACGCCCCACGACCCGGAGGATTACGACTACATCCTTCAGTTCGTTCACGACTTCGAGGATCCCGAAGCCGAGCTTCCGGTGCTCAAGAAGCAGGTCAAGGAGTGGAAGCCCCAGTGGACTTATGTGGCCCCGGATATCTATTGGTCCCGGTGGGAGTGCGCTTTGACTTTCTACTATCAAGATGACGAGGGCACGGACTGCAAAAGCAATGTGGGCCACTTCCATTTCGCTAACAACAAGCCCGCGCAATTGGTCGCCATTGCCTGCAGCTACTTGCTAGCTGCTTGTCTGTAACGCTTATATACACTAAATGCCGCAAACAAAGCTGGTTGTGGAAGCGTTTCGCATCGCCTTGCTTGTCGGTTTGCTATATAGGGGTTGCTAAAAGGATTGTGTGGAAGGGCCAGAGCCAGCTAGTAGCTTAGAGGTTGTAGCTTTGTGTCGTCGTATCCCGCCCTGCAATCTTATCCTGAACACAGACTCGCCC